ACACACACACACACACACACACACACAAACACACACGCATACAAAGACATAATATATGCGCACATAAAAAACAGGCACATACGCACAAAGTCGAGAATCTAAATCAAAATTCTTTTACAGAACAGTAATAATAATCATGAAGTAAATTATATAACACTGTCCAGACTCATGACCATTATGTAATTCACGTTGCAGAAGACTTAACCTCTGTGTGTAGATAAGCTCTACTCTATACAAAAAATACTACCAGTAGGAACATACAAGGGAAGACAATCTAACAAGCACTAGAAAAAGTGAGTACCTACTTTCAATATCAGGTTCGAACCAGCGGTACTTCATAGTATAGCCAGGCTCAGAGAGGTCAAATCCTGCACGGTTGTACTGGTCGGGTCCCGGTGTGCAAGCTGGGGTTATACAAGAGTCAAACAATATTGTCTTTTTAGAACAGAAATATAAAGGGGAAAACAACAACAACAACAACAACAACAACAACAACAACAATAAAAACAACAATATTAATATTAATAATAAAAATAACAATATTAATAATGATACTACTACTACTACTACTACTACTACTACTACTACTACTACTACTACTACTACTACTACTACTACTACTGCTACTGTATTCAAAATGTTACTCTTACGTACTTCACCATGGCTCGGGTTAAGATCTTTAAACACACACACACACACACACACACACACACTCACACATGCACAAGCGCGCCCACACACGCACTCACACAAATACATACATACACACACAAAACACACATACACACTCACTTACACACTCGCACACACACACACGAACATACACATACTCACTACCACACACACACACACACACATACACGCATACACACACACACACTCACACACAAACAAACATCGCGCGCACACATACACGAGCAAGCAAAATAGGTTGAGAATACTCTACATTCATGAATGAATTCTTTCTGAAGAGACTTTGCCATAAAAGAATGATTTTTAAATTATTTTTAAATTGAAATATTTTGTGGCGTGTATAGAACCGTACTAAGGAGAAAGGCACTCTTTACTTTCGTTTGATTAGTTATAGACAATATTTACAACACATTAGAAGCGCATGGCTTCTTTGTCTTAACTATTATTACGCATGATTCATGTTGCCCTGTACACCTAAGACTTACGTGGTGAACCTTATTACGTTATACACTTCTGGGGAAAAAAGCAAGGTCCTGATTTCATCAATAAGAAACAAGTTTCGGTGTGTGCAAAGTGGTTTCAACATACAGCACTATTTTTATCATAATCCCTTGGTCACTGGGTTCTCTTTTTGTTTGTCCGAACCGAACTTGTCATTGCTAAATTTAGATTGCCTGACGAGGCGAACTATCGGGAATTCCCAACATTACCACCAGCCTTGTTTCTATTATTATACGCTACGTCCGCAAAACAAATCGTTCTACGTTCTGATTTCCGGAATGGGCAACACTAATTCTATAATATTGGTAATAATATGGTCGGTACATTTATTATCTATGTGCTATTGTACTTCGGGGTTGTTTTTTTCTCACTTTTTTGGGGCTTTGCGCCTCTTTCATTTTTCATGGATGTTTTGAATTCACGATTTGTATAATTGTCGACAAACTACCCCCCCCTCCTCCCACACACATCCCTCTGTCTCTCTGTCTCTCTGTCTCTCTGACTGTCTGTCTGTCTGTCTGTCTGTCTGTCTGTCTGTCTGACTGACTGTCTGTATGTCTGTCTGTCTGTCTGTCTGTCTGTCACTCT